TCATCGTTAGACCAGCAACCCAAGTGCCGGACCAAAAGAAACTAAAACCAAGCCAGTACCTCAAAACGGTGTGCAAAACGCAACTATACAATGTACGTCAGAGTGGAGAACCGTGTACAACAACGGTATTGCCTTAGTCATTTCCAGGTAGATAGGCCCTAGCACTCTATCATTCATAGCATTTGCTCTGCCAGAACCAAACTCATTATCATTCGCTAAGCGGGACATTCACGATAGCACAATTTCCCACCAATTACGTGTTGACATGTCTCTCTCTGAATTAAAATCACCATGCCCCAGACGCTTGGCTCAGTGCCGGGATAGCTCATGCGCAGAGCACCCAGGCTCCTCAATGTGATTCTAGGCTCAAAAGATGACACAAACTTATGGCATCACCGAAGGCTTTTAGTGCATCCTCTGAAATTCAAGTACGACCCGCTCTTCCTAGATTCATCCGAAAGGACCCATTGCGTCTCCAGGACCCATCCAGAACACGATTCTGGGCAAAAAGCATCATTTGGCTCGGAGTATTGAATTGCGGGAAGGTGATCTGCAAAATAATGCACAACATGACTCTCGCAATGAACTTGGGTAGCCTGTTACGGTGGCTAATGCATCGTATGTAAAACGAAAGATTTTCTATTCTTCTTTATTTTCGCTTGTTTCCTGTCGTTTCAACTGTTTGATTTTTGTAACTTTCTGTTTGTTTAAACGTTTCAAAATAATGTTTTCGACTTTCGTCCCGAGACTTTGCCCGGTCAGCTCGGTTGAGTTTGGGGTACATTTATTTCAATTGTTTATTTGCTTTTTGTTTGGTTGAGCATACATTCAAGTATGGCTTTTCCTGTTGTGTAGAATTTATTATAATGTTTTTTAGATACGGTATAGGATATCGTGGTCCATCTGCTGAATTCGTGCTTTTGTTGCACGCTGTCGTTGTTTCCTGTTCATCGGGATAGTTCCTTGTTACCTGGTTGAATGCATTCACTGTAGTTCGAGAATGATCGTCGATACCACGTTTTAATTTGTTCATTCCAGTTGAGGATTGACCGTTAGGTCAAAGATGAAGTATGCTTGTCTTTGATAGTGATAGCGGGTAGAATATGTACTCGCTGGGCAAGCAGATGATTCTAAAATCACCATTCGACTTGACTGAAACCAGTAACGCAAATTGGGTCAAGACAATGTGTGTAGATTAGACGACAGTCCGCCTGATCGGATGTACCATCTCTCCAAGGAAACGGGAGAACGTGTTACGGATAGGCATGTATAGTTCAACACCTTTTGTAGAAAGTAATAAACAGTTGGGCAAAAAACATAAGACAACAGAGGAAGAAAAAACACAAGTTTGATTGAACAAGTGTACGGGAAATAATCTTCGCCTCGATATTTATGGTTACCAGGAATGAGTTGTCGAAATCAACATGATGAGTTAGAGGGAAATAAATGAATGAACTGAAGCGAAAAGTGATGCGATTCACAATTACAGACTACAGTTATTTGTCATTCACACAAACACACTGACAAACACTTAACTTAATATTCATAAATAACTTTGAAACTAGAGATCAGATTTGTAGCCTTTTTGTTTTGTTTTCTTCCGGTTGAGGCGACTGCGAGAAAATAAGTAACGGGTCACACGAAGCATCGCCAGTGCCAGCGTCTTCCGTGAAAGTGAATCAACAACAGCCTTCGTGCACAAAAATAACGCAACATACAGATGGTTGTCAATGTGATGAAGAAAAATCCCGGTGAGTGGATGGGTGTGGCAGTTCATGAGAGAACGATTGATGCTCATGGAAAGCACTGAACTGAGGCAGAAGGAGGGGTGGGAAAGAACAGATAACTTGTCTCATTGACATGCACACATGTGCACTCAGACATGGAAAAGGGCGAGACTTCATCCGAAGGAATTTTCTCCACTGTAGTGAGCGTACAGAAATCCATCATCGTCTCGACATTCGGCATACAACTGTCCGATAGTGTAGCTGGGTTGAGGTATTGTATTGTCGACAAACAAGAAAAGGGCTTTCTCTTTGGATAGTGAAATCCGCTTCCGAATAATCCGCAGGAATTGTGCGACCGTGATGTCATCCGGTACGAGAAATTTGTGCTTGTCGATATCCGTAACCTGTGAATTTGGATGCCGTTCAACCACAACCGGAATTCTGTTGGGATACGTCTTCTTTATTTTGGTAGAATTCGCGTGTCTTTGATCAAAGGTATGATGATCTTTGAACTTGAACTTCATTTCGGAAAATTCAGCAGCTATTTCAAGTTCGCGCACGGCGTTGGTTCAACCTAGTAGGCGTATTGGGCTTACGAGCTCAATCGGACGCAACATTGCTTTTAAGCTTGAAGCACTAGTACTAAGCGGCCCATTCTGATTCCTCAGGCCAAGCATTTGCTACACATACATCCACGCTGCTCAAGGAATGCATATGCTCAAGGGGACCTTGAAAAATGGCATTCGTTGGGAGACAGGTTCCTGTCAGACCTGTATATTCATAGGTGTAGAACCACGAAAGAATGCCAGGAATTACGTGGAAGTGCACTCAAAAAAGCACAGCCAATCCTGCACCCGAGCAATGTGTCATGTAGCACGGTCAATCACAGAGCTTCCATTACCTCGTCATTTCCAGCTCTGTTTGAATCTGAACCAAGTTGGTACAAACTACACACATAGGCGAAGCTCTCAGTCGGGAACTCCTGCACAGTCGTACATACCTTAAAACCTCCGACAACGGCGAGCAGCCTGTCCGACTTGTATGCAGACAATCCGTTTCCGTTGAGCAACACAATGGTAGTTGAGTCCTGGGGCTATATGAACACCAACAGCCAAAGCTTACTAAACAAGCAGTGCGAGCTTTGTCTCCAAGTCAGCCATCAACGGCCACCATCAATCAGTGTAACCGAGACATGGGCTCACTCGAGGATATTGAACGCTGAACTGGAAAGCCCTAAGCTAGACATCATGAGACCGGATAGAATATACGGCACAGGTGAAGGGTGTGCCATTCACATCAGCAGGAAGCTAAGGCCTGTGAGGTTTACGGATCCCATTATAGAAAGGGAATGGGAGGGCGTCCGAGCAGCCACAAAGCTGAAGGGTCAAAAACAATGCCTGCTAGGCCTTCTCCATAGGCCACCAAATTGCTCAGAGCCAATGAACTCCGCTATCATCAACGCACTAACACAAGTCATTAGATCGAATTACAATCACGTTTTGGTAATGGGTGATTTCAATTTACCGGAGATCTGCTTTAGTGCGTTGACCTGCCAAGCGGGCCCTATGTCCATAGCTTCAGTCTTCTTCGATACGGTGATGGATCTAGATCGGCGCGAGCACCTCTGTAATCAACCAGGTGGCGAAGAAAATCGAGACCGTCGGAGCCAGACTGGGTCTTTACAAATACCGGTGGTCTCAAAGCTCTCAGACTACGAGGGGTATATTGAACTACGTTATGAATGCAATCTGAGAAGGAAGCAAGGCGCCACTCAGTACCAGACACAGTTCTTAAACCGGTTCATTGCGGACCGAAGGAGTTTCTATGGGAATATCTCCCTGGTGACCCAGGCAAAACCTGAGAACACAGACATCCGTCTTGCGGATGAATCCCTTAAGGAAGGCGACAGGATGTAGCTAACACCCTGACTGAGTACTAATATATGGTATTCAGCCCAGAACATATAAGTCGGACAGATGGAAACGGTCATCCTGCAGAGGACCTCATATCCAGTAGGTCTATGGAACCCGTGTTGTTTTCCCTGACGCAGGTTAGGCTAAAACTTGTAAGTCTCATAGCTAAAACTTCACCGGATCCTGACGAGATACCACCCATCATAATGCAGCAGTGCGCAGAGCAACTAGCACCAGCACTAAGCAGACTTTTCAACCACTCCATGAGAGTAGGCATGGTCTCGGATGAGCAGAAGACGTAGGTGGTCTCTCCTATATTGAAGTCAGGGAACCGAAACTAGTCAACTAATTACCGTCCGGTAGCCCTGATCCCGGTGGCCTCAAAGGCAATGGCGAGTCTTATTGATGACAAGGTCAGTGAACTTTTCGAGCGAGACCATCGCTTGCACGATTCACAACATGGGTTTCGAGGGAAGCGATCCTGCCAAACCAACCTAATTGAGACCATGGAATGGTATATATCTGCTGCAGGTAAAGGGTACAAAGGGATGTAGTCCTGTTCAAATTCTCCAAGGCATTTGATAGAGTTTGTCATGCTCTGCTAGTAGAGGAGCTGGTGAAGAAAAGGAATCCCCGAAACCCTATTAGCTTGAGTCTCAGAATAACTGCGCAATCTAACCCTTCAGGTTCGAGTTTAGAGGTTTAGAGCACACAGTGGGGTACCTCAGAGCTCTATATTAGGTCCGAGATTGTTCACAGTATTTGTGAACGAACTATAAATAGGCATAGAATTAATCCTTCTGATGTATGCAGACGAAGTCAAGATATGCCGGGAAATTTGAAGCGCAATAGACATGTATACCCTGTAAGAGAACCTAGTCACACTGTTTACCTGGTCGGTCACAGATGGTTTGTCGATAAGTGCAAAGTAATGCACATTACAGGGAACTGCAACAACGACCAAAATATTACAGAGGGTCAGACACAAAAGGGATCTAGGCACAATTAATACCAGTGATCTGTCCCAGCAAACTAACTGTAACATTCTGGCCCGGTGGGCAATGGTCAGACGGAACCAACTCAGCCAACTTCTGGGTAAATTCGCACTAGAATTATTACCTAAGATTGTCGCAACTCCCATCAGGCCACACTTAGAGATTAACATCCAGTTGTGCCTCCGGCTGCTTAGGATGGATATCAACGCTATCGTGCGGGCACAAAGGAGAGCCACGAAACGAGTACAGGGTCTATCACACAAACCCTACTCGGTTAGACTCCGTTCGGTCAACTTCTACAACATGAAATATAGGAGAGCAAGGAGTTATCTGATCCTCCTGATGTACATGCTCAGCGTTCAGGAGCGCCCTAACAGGCATCTCCTCACGGTGAACCAGCACTGAGCAGCCACTCCATAAAACTGGAGAGGCAGCATCCAAAACTGAGAGCCCAGGAACACGGGTATTCCGGTGTGCGTATGTCGCCCTTGGCACTCACTGCCAATGACAGTAGTCCATGCTCTAAGTAAACATTCGTTCAAAAAGCAACTTAACCAACGCACAACCGATCAGTACCCAGAGGCTCCGCTCCACATACCGTTACCGGCAATCGGAATGACCTTAACTTGGGGCATCCGAGCGCCGGCCTTAGATTGCTGCGATTTCGTACATTGGGTATGTCTTTAGATGAGGAGACGTGGATGTGCGAACCCTAAGTTTATCTTTAGTCTACCATCACTGATGACAGAGCTGCATTCTTTGAACAAGCCTGAAAACCAGACAGATGGTCATTTGATTGGTATCACGGAGATCGACTCACCCAGGTGATAGAACACTCATGTATTGATCCATCTGGGAAAATCCTTCTTGTAAAACCCAGACAATCTACCTATGATCCAAATTCCATGAATTTCACGTTTTATTCGCCCAACGTCATCCGCCCGATACATTTATAAACATTTGACGTTCCAGCTCCTTTGTATACTTACACATCATTCCCATTATTCGACTTTTTTTGTTTGTGCTTCCCCATTTATTTTAATCGCAACTTGAACGCTCGAATTTGACTCGTTTGAAAACAGCGTGACGGTGCGCGTGCTATTTTTATCCAGATTCATTTCTTTCGTTCAGATTCCTTAAATTACGCTTCCCGTAACAATGGGTCCTTGTTTTTTAAGTTATTCTGAAATCACCTTTGAGGTTTGTGCACATTTTATTTGCTCATTTCAAAGTATATCAAAATGGTACCGTAGGAATTTGCTGGATAGTTCGTTTTATTGACGTTTTGGGATTTGATTTCCGCTACGCATTGCTCCATTCGGGATGCACATTCCATCCATCACTGGATTCAGCCCTCACCTAAGAAAGACAGCGGGATTCTTATTCCCAGTAGCTGAAAAAGGTAAAAGCCTTTGATGATACAAAAAAGAAAACCCACCGGCTGGAAAATAATGATAAAAACACGCGGTTGCGACTGCTTGGTGATAGGATAAACTCGATTCGGCTCCCAATGATCCACGATGTTAAACGCGGTCGTAATGAGAAATAAAAAAGAAGAGCACCCACTAAGTCCCAACTGCAGGAGCCGTCAAAATAGCAAGATATCTGGTCAACAAATGAGGGAAGAAAACGAGACAAAACAGCAAAATATGATCGATAAGAAATAAAAGCTAAGAATAAAATGAAAGACAGAAAGAAAAGAAAATAAATGAAACGCACAGTTGATTCGATTTAAGGATCTCTCTAGAATAATCGCTCGCCGTAGAAGACCGGAGTCGGTTAAGAGCTCAGAGATGCTGCCTCTCCAACAGTAAAATCACTCATGAATCCGGACACACACTCACCCAGTGCATTCACTTACACACCAAAATGCTGGTCGGAGCTTTCGAGTTATGTAGCCGGCTGGCAACCAGTCAATCCCGTTTCAAAAATGCTTTCATTGCGATTCTGTCGTGGTGTGAGCGGAGACCCCCTCTATCTCCTCTACCTACTTAATACACTACTTTTCAGTTCTCTTTTACCCAGACAGATGGAAGGATTATTGCATGGTTTGGTTGTGCGTCCTGACTGTCTGAAATGGTTCTCGTTACTTTAGAATTAATTTTGCTTCATAATAACACTCTTCACATGCACACAATCAGCACCCTCATACTATTGACCATGTATTTCATGTTGAATTTTTGAAAATCCGTCCAAACCCATAATGATTTGTGGTGAAATAACTCGATCTGTGTGTTGCTTCTCTATTAACATTTCTCAACCACAAACACAATACATTATTGTTTATCTGTTAATTTGATGCCCGGCACATTTGAATTTTGCGTGGTTTGAGAACAAGAGCGACTGTTTGCCTCTCTCTGGACATCATATTTGGCTCGATTGCTTGGGTGCTTTTGGCCGCACATTTGAGGTTTGCTTTATTGTACATTTGTAATGATTTCTCTAATTCAGTACCGTAGAACATTACGGATCAATCGTGTTTTATTTTCGGGATTCGTATCGGTTTCAGCTACGCGTCACTCAAGTGCAAATTGGTTGACATACAATCCATTGTCCTCTTTGACTGTGTATTGTTGATTGATCCGTAACTATGACTGTTCTCCACGCCGTTTACAC